GCGTTCCCGCCCGCGCGTCCCGGTGGCGCCCTGGGCTCGAGCTCCTGCGCCCCGGAGCTGGGGCCCGCGATCAGCCCCGGCGCGCGAGACGCCCGCCACCCTGGGAACTTCTCAGCCGACTTTGGGGCCCTCGAGCCACAGGACTGCCCCGAGCGGCAGCCCGCACGTTCGGCACGGAGCCGGGAGGGCCCTGCCCAGGGGCGCATAGGTGAGTCCTCCGTTCCCCGGACTGGCTCAGGCCGACGCTTTCCCAGTGGCTGCGCCCGGGGCTGGTGGCCTTCCCCGAGGCCGGGCAGCCTAGGGCCACAGTCGACTTGTCAATGGTCAGGGTCCTAGAGGTAAAACTCTCAGGAAAGCCCCGGCGTGTGGGCGCCTAGCAGAGCTCCAAGAGACCCAGTCCCAGCGCATCCCACCTGGGCAGGTTGTGTACGAGGAATCCCCAAGCAGACCACCTAGCCACTCTGTGATCTTGGGCAGCACCGCCCTTACCGAGCGGGCACCCCAACTGTAAAATGGGGGTCACAGTGGTATCTCCCATAGCGCTGTTTTCAGGATGAGGTCAGCCCTTGCCTTGCAGTCAGCTGCCAACAAACGTTTGTTTTGATGAGCCCAGGGCCTGCCACGTGGTAGGTGTTCGCTAGATTGTGTCTATTCTCGAAAGCACCCTCTGAGCCGGGACCAGCCAGGGGGAAAGTGAGTTGAATCATCTTCCCTCTGCCGCCTGCAGCAGCCTGACATCCAGTAGATAATTATTTGGAGCACCCTAGAGAGTGATGGCAAGGTTCACACCATGAACAAGCAATGATGAGCGCTGAGGATGCCTCTGAGGTCTCTTCTCTCATCCCTCCCGGGACCCACCGGGAGGAGTCCAATTGGACCCATGCGGAAAGCAAACAGCCAGAATCATATAGGAGGGGAAACAACCAAAAAAAAAAAGGCAGTGAAGGCCTGAAGAGGGAAGAAACTGCTCATGTGATGTTCAGAGCCAGGAGCAGTCAGGTTTGTTCCAGGGCTGTGTAGACTTTTCACTTGCTTGAGTCTGTGACTTGGCAGATAGAGGTGGGTGCCAGGGGGCAGGAAGGGGCATAAAAAGGATAGGATCTACAGTGATGGCTACCTGAGGTCCTTTTCAGCTCCAGGAGTCCTGGGATTTCGTAATCCGCATGATTCATCCTTTCAGCAGGTGTGAGTCACCCTAATAGAGGTGGGAGAACGGGAGGCGTGGTGGGAGGCCCAACCCGGACAGGCTAAATTCCTGTTCACAAGGGCTCCTGCCAAGGGCCCCTCTTAGAACCCAGGGATCTACGTCCCAGTGGCCTTCTCTTCTCTTCACCAGCCATACTTTCTGTCCCTTCCCTTTTCCGGCAAGCGGGGTCGTCTTCCCGGACAATTGCTGCAGGCCTACCCCAGGCTGCAGAATACAGGCTCCTTGTGTGCTGGCTGGGTGCTCACTGGCGCCTGCCCACTGGAAAGGCTTGAGGCCATGATGCAAGCTGGCCAGTGCTAGAGGAGAACATGCCACACCTGTTGGGCAGTGACAGTACCCAGAACCCTCACCCTAACCCTGCCCAGCCACCTGGCCCACAGAGAAGGGACACTGTGCTGAATCGGGTGGAGTTACAGGCCTTGCCCTGTTCCTGTCCAGCAATCCATCGGACACTGTGTGTCACTTTTCTGCCCCTTGTTAGCCAGCCTGTCACTGAGAGTCATCCAGATCCTACGGCATTCCTCTGTAAGTATGTGGGCCGCTCTAAGGTATAGCACACTGCACATAATCCAAGTGATTATGAAGCAGCTCGTGCCTCCCAGGAGGGTACTCCCATGACAACAGTGATTTTGACAGGCAGAGATAAGGGTTTTTCCATAATAATTTGGTAGATTAAGGGATTCAGCCTACTGAACTGAGAGGAGACTAAGACACATCTGAATTTTTATTTGGAGGGATCTGAATTTATTTTATTAACAAGGTTGGTCCTCTGGGGCTAAACTTTCCACTTATGGCGGAGGTACGTGGGCTATAGCTTGGCTTCAGCATTGCAGGAAGACCAGCTTCCCAAAATGAACATCCTAAATCAAATTGCCTCCTCTGAGTTTCCTATTGATTTACACTATGACAGGATTAACTCAGTCATGGTACCAGCCCTTTGCATTGTGATAGGATCTGTAATAAAACTTGGTTCATCTTCTTGCAGGGAGAGGATTTATTATTACTCACTGGGACTGCCGCTTACCAGATGGCCCCGGAGGTCCACACCACTCTGGGGTAGGGAGCCTGCTGCTCCCGTAGACTGAGGTGGGCAGACTGGGAAGGGGTAGGACCTGGACCAGAAAGGTGATTGGAGCCTGGCTGCCTCTCAGGAGCCAGCAAATGTAAACAGAGATGCGATGCATAGGCGGAGTCGCTGGGAAGCTGGTGTGCAATGACGTGCTCTTCTGGCCCTGGCTGCTCCCCGTACAGTTGCCCGGTGGGGCCCCGGAATACCCACTCAGCCAAGGCCACTGGACAGTCAAAGACTACGCACAGCGTCTAGTGGATTTTGAAACAAAATTTGATTTAGAATTACCTCCATTTAGGCAATAACCACCTAGCTGAAAAACTGTACTTTTGAGAATGTGCTGGGTTCGGTGGCCAGGGTGGCATCTCAAAGATTGTCCGACGGGCACCACCTGTAGAGGAGCTTTGTCACGCCGCTTCTGGGCAGCCTTGGATGAATTCTTCTTTCTTCCTCTGCTGTAAATGGCAGCTATACTGCTGTCACCTTGCAGGGTGCCATGAGGACCACAGGAGGTGACTGGTGCAGTTCCCCTCACCCCGTGCCTGGTGACCAGTCAGCACTCCATAAATGGTGGGCACCAGGGCTGCAGGCTCAGTCCCTCTGCGGTGCTCAATGCTGTGTAAAAGTAAAAAATGAAAAATGGCCAGGGATCTAGCTCAATGCAAAGACCCTAGGTTCAGTCCCCTGGGGAGCGGGCATGAGATGTTGTAAAAACTACTTTTCTTGCAGAGCAATCATCTTGGATCTAGCAGTTATATATTCAGTGTTCCATGCATAAGCTCCCAGGTAGAAAATTAGTGTCAAGCAAGGAATTTATGGGCAAAACTCTGTAAGAATGAGAGCTCTGCATTTCATCTCACTTCTCTTTTTGCCCTAACTTCCAGAAGACTCAGAGTTACGTACAATTGTTTATGTCCTCCCGGCTGTAGCACTCAGGGTGTTTTTGGTTACCAAATGCTAGAACGCCCCCCGGGTAGGAGCACAAGCGATGAGGACAGCTCAGGAGTTCACACACAGGAATGTGGTAGTAGGTGAATCTGGGGTTGTTAACCCAGCACTCAGTCAGACCGGGATCTTGGTGCTGTCCTGTGCTCTGTCCTGATTTCCCTTGTCAAGATAGGAGGAAAGGGAAGGAGCAAACTTTTTTGTTTTGTCTTTTTGAGACAGCGTTTTGCTATGCAGTTCAGGCTGGACTTGAACTCACTTTGTAGCCCAGGCTGGCCTTGAACTCACAGCGATCCTCCTGCCTCAGCCTCCTGAGTGCTGGGATTATAGACGTGCACCACCATGCCTGGCTATGGAGCAACCTTCTGTCTCTTAAATGTCTTTTATCTACTCAGTGAGACACCCTCAGACCCCCAGCCCATTTCTTCTCAGGCCCCAGTGACTTGAACTGGGTCACAGCCCTCCCTCCACAGTGATGGAGCCGCTGACAACACGGACAAGGTTACCCGTGCTGCTTTGGATCTGTTCTGGCAAAACATTTTCTCCTGGAAAAACATTTTCCTGAACACACTGCTGCCCCAAATTGAGCAAAACGAGGATTCTTCAAGCAGAAGGCAGCTCCAGGAGGGATGCTAGGTGGGTCCCCAGCTGGCACCTGCTCCCCTTTTCTGTTCTGCTGTCTCGCCTTTATCTAGATCCTGCTAGACACACAGCAGACTCCAAATAGTTACTGAAAGGAGGGCCAGAGGGAGTGGGGAGGAAAAGAACGAAAGAAGGGGAAAAAGACAGAAGGAAAGGAAGGCTCATATATTGCTTAGGATGAATCCAGGAAATTAAATACCAACACAAATCAGCTGTAAGCAGCTACAACTTTGACCTTCCTGGCCTCCCCGAGCCCCACGCCAAGCAGAACCCTAGCACTCAATGGCATTTTACCCAAGTCCAACAGCAAGCGTGCCTCTTTCTCCTGTATGAAAACATCCCTTGGCTCCAGGATGGGCTGCAAGCTCCTTGCCTGAGTACTGTTCCCAGGTAAGAGTAAATGAGGGGCTCGGGCTCCCTCCCCAGTGGGGGCAAGCAGAGCCAGGCCAGAGGTGGAGTGGGGAGGGGGCTTGGCAGTCATAGCTGGAAACTGACTCCTTTGTACCAAAGAATAATTTTGAGAAGCTGTGTGTGCCAGTAAGTGACGGGGCAGAGTGCCCGGCAGAGGGTCCGGGGGCTGCAACATACACATGTAAATGAAGTGGCTGTGGCCCGGTGGGTGGGGCTGAGCAATTGGCTGTTCAGGTTCTTCCCAGCTAATTATAGATCCTGTGGCTTCTCTTTCCCCCAAGGAAATAAGCCAGAGGGCACAAGCAACGCTGCTCCTCACCTCCTGCCCTGGGCCCTGCCCTGCCCCTCCGAAGCTGCCACCACCCCCCACCATGCCCTGGGCTCCAGGGAATTCCAGCCTCCAGATCTCGTTCTGGCAATGACCCACACTCCTGGCCCTTTAATCCATTCACTCCTGGGCCCTCTCCTGCGCTGCAGAGCTTCCTCCGCCCCAAGACTGCGTCCTTGCTGCCCCTACCACCAACCCCTCGTGCTTCCCCTCTCTGCTGCTCCTCTTGTCTTCCCCACAAGGCTTCTGGGAAAGGTTCTAGCCCTTCGCTCTGCATTCAGGAGTCACCCTGTGCCCAAGACCTCATCCCCCAGCACTGCACCTGCGAGGCCAGATGAAGGTGGAGAAGAAACAAAACCACTCGAACTGGTCTCGCTTGAAGTTTGTCTTTACTCACCTGCAGCAGTTGCAGCAAAGTCTCACTGTTCTCAGGGACACTTTCAACCCCTCCTTCTCCAACCCCGCTTCGGCCTCCTTCTCAGGGAGACGCCTCCTCCTGCCCCTGCCTGGGCTCTGTCTCCCCAGCATTGCTGCAGGTGGACACGGGGTCTCGCCCTCCCAAGGGCCTCCTCCCCGGCCATGTGCTGGTCCCAACCTCACCCCAGTCAGGGATGCTCCTTCCTCAGTATCACCCCAAAGGTCCATGTGTTGAAATTTAACCCCCACTGTGAGATGTTAAAGGGGAGGAAGTGAGATGTAACCCAGTTCTGGTGTTCAGAAGTGACTGGACTTAGATAAAGTCGTTCAGATGGAACCCCATGATTAGACGCTGGTGTCTTGATAAGAAGACAGAGAGAGACAGAAGAGACACAACCATGCAGCCCTTATCTCTTATCATGTCCTGTGCCGTCAGGGTCTTTGCCAGCAAAAAGCCCATTACCAGCTGGGGACCCTGAACCCTGCACCTCTGGAACTGTGAGCCAGAATAAACCTGTTTTCTTTATAAAATTATCCAGCCTCGGGTAGTACTTCATTGTAGTATTACAGAATGGACTAGTACACCCTCTCTGCCCATCACAGTAAATGCTACTTCCGTGCTCCCATTGCTCAAGCTGAAGCCTAAGGTCATCTTGGTCCTGCCCCCCACAGCCACGCCTGTACTATCAGTGAATCTGGTTGCTTTTGCTTGTGAAATCCATGCAGAGTGTGACTGTTTTCCACCACACCTCCTGCTACCACCCTAGCCAAGTCACCTTAGCTGGTATAATTCAGTGCCCTCCGAAGTGGCTTCCCTATTCAGCCTTCCCTGAGTCAGTCCTCAGCGCAGGGTCACGAGCAGCAGACATCAAGTGGTGCTCTCCCACGGCTCAGAGTTGCCCCCAGAGCCCCAAGTCTCACACAGCACAAATCTTGTCCTCTTAGTGCCCCAGAGGTCCCCATGGTCACCTCAGGCACACATAGTAGACGGTCAGACACAAGAAGAGTGTTGGACTGGATGGTCAAGGCTTCCCAGAAGAAGTGAGCTTCAAACTCAGCTTGAAGAAATAAACAGGAACTAGCCAAAGAAGTGGCCCATCAGTCAGGTTTAAGCAAAAAAGCCAGAAACCACACTAAATATTTGTGTTGGGGGAAATGGATGACTCAGGTGTTGGAGACGGAACCTAAGAACAGCAGAACCTGTTCCTCTGCTGAGTGGAGATGCGGCTGACAACCCACAAGTGGACATGTATATGCAAAAGCCCTGTGGCAGGTGGAAGCTTGGGGTGGTGGAGCTAGAGAGGAAGCAGAGTGGCCAGAGCACTGATAGTTAAGGGAAGGTGAAGGGAGAGGGAGCTAGGGACTGCCAGAGGCCAGGTATGACAGCGTCAGCAGCCTCGCAAAGAATTTGAACTCAGTCCCCAGAGGCAAGGAATGCAATGGGACACAGCCAGCTCCGGCCAGCATGTCCTGGGTGGCTGTCGAGTCTTACTCTGTCTTCAGAAGGCCACATCTTGGCTCCTACCTTGCTCGCTCCTTCTTCAGTATCTCCTTCTTCAGTATCTCGCTGGCCCTTCAAACCCAGAACCACCTGCGCCAACCTCCTCACCCCAGTCCACCAGGCCCTGGCTCTGTGGATTCCCGTTGCCTCCACAAAAGTGTCAGCCACTCTGTGCCCCAGCCGGGTCCCCGCCAGAACCCACCTCCCTGGCCGGTCCCCTGTCTGTTCAGCCCAGGTCCTCCTCGTGCACACCCAGCTGCCCTAGTGACCGCTAAGCAGCCTCTGGCTCAGCACCCTCCTCAACTGTCCCCAGAGTGCCAGGTCCCAGGTGCTGCCAGGAGCCTGCTTGATCCATAGAGCCATCTCACAATCTTCCCAGCTGGGGTGGAGACACTGTCTTTCTTGCTCTTCCTGCCCCAGCGTAAGACTCATGGCTGTCCCCAGGCTTGCTGTTCAGGCCTGGCCACCTTGGCTCTCACCATATTCTGGGTGGCATGCCTCCCCACCCCCATTCCTCCTGATGCAAGGTGAAGTCTCAGACCCTGTGATCTGGCTCTACTGAGCAAACAAGGCAGAGTATACTCCCGCAGAGGCCTCTTCCAGGGCATGGTCTCTCCCACCACTGGAGGAGGTCTCCAGGCAGAATACCCAGCAGCCGAGCCAGCATGTGCAAAGGACTTGAGGCAGGAGGAAGCTCGGCTCAGTGGAAGGCTAGAAGGGAGGCAGCAGCATTGACGATGAAAGGAGGGAGGGCAGTGCAAGCCTGGCTGGCGTGGTGTCTGGTGGCGAGACTATGAAAGGAATGCCACAGGTTTCTAAAGTGTGTTAGAGCCTTGGTTCTGCCTTAGAGGTCTGATGACCAGCTGCAGTCCTGAATATCAGTCCCTCCAAGTTATCTGTTCTATAAGAGATGAAAGAATCAAGCAGAGAAGACCTGCTTGTACTTATCTAGCAGCCAGCAGCAACCTCTGGGCACACAGTCCACAGGTAGGAAGATTTTACCTCCGCACCTCAGTTTATTCTGAGCACCCCTGTGTCCCGGGTGGGGGGCCCAGCCTCCCAAGCCAGCGCTGTGGGAGCGCACAGAAGTTCAACAGCAAGGTGGATGGATGAAGTGAGGTAAGGACCGGCAGATGAAGTCTCCAAGATGCAGATGCAAGCGCATGGCTTTGCTAAAGCCATAGAGATTTTCTGCTGATCTTTCACAACTTCCTGCAGGATCGCCTTTAGCGCGGGCCTCGGCTATATGTGGAATCCGGCCCGCTGCTCCCTGCCTGAATGACCTTGGGCATTTAACCTCCGCCTCAGTTTCTCTGCAGTAGATGAGATTGACAGTGGTTCCTCCTGGCGGAGAGAGGGTGAAGCAGCCCCTTGGGAGCAGGCAGGGCCTGGCAGCCAGCGAGCTGCCGCCTCCCACGATGTGCATCCTGGGTTTGGCAGGCGCCAGCCAGGATTGTAGTGACAGCGGAAGCGTGGACCATGTGACAGGTGCTCAAGGGAGAGCTGTGTTGAGTTACACTGAGATCTCACTAAAACCACAGTGGTTCCTGTTATCTTCCTTGGATCTGTGTGGTGGATTTAGGGCTTCAAAAATACTTTCGAAGCTTTTTATATCCTCCATACTATTTATAGTCTAAACTCCCCCAAGTCCCCACCCCAGCCAAAATCATCCCTTCTATGCATTTTTTGACACCAGAGTCTCTAGCAGCAGAGGAGAATGTAGCTGCTCGATTGCACCATTTGGGCCCCCAACAAGCCCCTCAGTCCTGTCCTTCAGGAGTGACACTCAGCAAGTGCCACCTCCTTGGCAGGCCGTGCCACACTGAGCCTCCCGGTCACCCGGCATGCAGTCCGGTCCAACTCCTGGCTCTCCGGCCACGCTGCAGGTGCTTGCTGTCCTACACTGTCATTTCTCAAAACTTTGTCATTTCTTAAAGCTTTGGTAACGGAACATCTCTGTGGCTCGAACGATTCTGTGTCTGGCCCTCTTCATTTGGGTCAGGGCTAATTCTCTTGTTCTTTCTTCTTTCTCCTTCCGTGCTCTTTCTTCTTCCATCCTATAAAACCGATCTTGCGTTAGAAATCAGCTAAGTGGATCATCATTCTCCCTCCTAAACATGGACCAGCCGTGGGTCACGGGTGGCCGCCATCCTTAAGAAGAAAGCCTAATTCACTCCCCATCTTCAGTGGATGGGAAGTTGGGAAATTTTTCACTTACTGCTTCTTCCATCAAAGCTCACTGAAGACTTGCCACGGTGCCCCTCTTACAGGATCCTGGGACAGTGTGACAGGCAGTGACACTCAAGTGTGTCCCATGAAATGGGAAGGAGTGGTCCAAGCAAAGCAGGGTGGCCTGGAAAAGAATACGAGGATCAGAGCAGCACGGTGGTTAGTGCAGAGGTTCCAGTGTTGACAGCCAGGTCCTTGTCCTGCCCAGCTGTGTGACCTGAAGTAGGTCAATTAATCTCTCTGGGCCTCAGTTTTCCCAAATGAGCATGTAATGACCATGATATTTGTGTCCCCCTCAAATAAATCAGTAGAAAGTGCTCCAACTTGCCCCGGCACTTGGACAGTATTATATAAGATGTTATTGTCATCAGGCTAGAGGCACAGCCATATCTGATCACTGGTTGTAACACAAATGGGTCTGGACTTGTGTGGGTGTATGCAGATGCATTAGCACAGATGTGCCCTGGGCCCTACGCCCAGCTACCCTCCCTCCAGTCCTAGACTTAGAAGGTCCACACAGCCAAGGCATCACCCTCTTCCCGATGTGCCTGATGCGGGAGAGGGGAAGGGTAGTAGTGGGAACGGGAAGAAGGAGCAGCAGAGGGAGAGAGCCTCGACCTCACACACTGAGCCCTCTGTAGGCTTCAGTGGCCCTGGGCTGTGGTTCTGCCTTCTGTTTGAGGGACGAGAAACCTCAGGCCCAGAAGGAGGAAGGGCCTTGCCTAAGGCCGACAACCCCCTTGTTAGGGGAGCTGGGGAGGTTCTGGTGCAGGGTGGAGCCGGAGGCACAGATGGCAGGAGGCTGAGCAACACCCTGAGGTCTCCCTGTCCTTGGATGCAGATGGGGGACCAGAGACCTGGGGATGGAAGGAGATGCAGAGCTCTCCAGTGAGCCTGTCTGCAGTCACCAGTGACCTCTTCAGTGTCCCCTCAGTGTCCAGCTCCACTGGAGCTCCCTGGGGGCCAGCAGGGCACAGTGTGACCAGCTAGAGGAGACAGAAGAAAAGAGATGTGATGCATGGACTCCAGGGCCCTGAGACCCCACCTGGGAACCCCTTGGGACTGCAGATCCAGGAGCTGCCTGGACTCTTTTTTTCATTTATTTATTTCTCCTGGAGATTGAACTCAAGGCCTTCCCACTAAGCTGCATCCCCAAACCTTTCTACATTTTAAAAAAAATTTTGAGACAGGGTCTCCCTCAGTTACTAAGTTGCCCAGGCTGGGCTGGGACTTGGAATCCTCCTGCCTTGGCCTCCCAGAGTACTGGGATTACAGTACAGCCAGCACCTGGACTCTTCGGCTGTCACACTTCCTGACCCTCTTGCCAGGGTGGCTGGAGACAGTGAGTCCCTTGGGAACTGGTCCTTTGGGGTGGGAAGTCCTCAGCCACACCAGCTCCTCTGCCACCTTCTCCTGAGAGCAGCACCATGGCCTGGTGATAAGACCCATTCTCCAGCCACTCCTTGGGTCCCTCCTGAAGGACAAATCTGACTATCCAGGGCCCAGAATGTCCCCAGTGCCTGACCCTTAAGTATGTTTAGAAGTCAAACCTATTCCTACCATCAGCGCTCAGGAGTTGAATTACACCTTCCTTAAAAAGCAAATCTTCTCTCCAGAGCAGCATTCGGATGCTCATAAGCTCCGTCATCAAATATGAATATTCTCTTAAAAATAAAAATTATGGTGCACTTAAAAAGGGGCATGTTATGTCAGCACTGGTGATACGGCAATTTATTACTGTCGGCAAAAGAGAAGGCTCTAATGACGAGGTGGAAGCTGGCCTGGCAGGCTGTAAATTACAAGC